CCAAGCATGTTAACTGTTCCATGATAGGGAACAGCAGAGCCAGGGTGCTGAGACACATACGCATGTTGAGAGTTGGGGCCATAGGCGGGGTAAGGAGTAAACAATGAATGAAAGGGTAACTGAAAACCTCCCAAGGCAAGACTATTAGAAAGCTGATAACACGTGGAGGCTTCATGGCCACGTTTGTGACAAATCTGACATTGAACCTGAGACCCACGATTTCTTCCTCCACGAGATCCACGACCACGACCTCCATGATTATTAAAGCCAGCTTGAGGTTGAGGCGAAAAATTCTGAACAGGATTAGGCTGAGAGTTTGTCATCAGAGGCGGCTGAAAAGCCAAATTGACATTGGGGACATTGGTTGGAACAGAAGAGGCTTGAGCAAGGTTGATGGAGAGGGGTTCTTGAATAGCAGCAGTCTTTGCTTGGTCCAGTCTTGCTTCCTGAGCAAGAATCATGGTCTCAAGTTCGGCAGGGGAAAAATGATCATCACGGCTGACAAATGCAGTGACAGTGGAGATTAGGGAATCATATTCTGGTGGAAGACCCCCAAGAATACACTCAGCATGTTCACGAGGTGAAATGGGACTGCCAATAGAGGCAAGGGTCTCAACGATGGTGCTAATGCGAAGGAGGTAGTCAGAACACGATCTTGTTCCTTTCTTGATGGTGCGAAGCTCTAGTCGTAATTGCGTGGCTTTGATCTTGGTGAGGGACTGAAAATGCTGAAAAACTAAATCCCAAATCTGGTAGGAATGACGGCACGAGACAACACGGGCTTGGATGGATTCAGATAGGGTTGCAAGAAGCCAAGAAACCAACAGCGAATCTTTGCGGTCCCAGGCAGTATACTCCGGATTAACAAGATTAGCATCACGATCCTCAGGGGTAAGGAACTTCAAGGGAATTTTGGGGTTGACGACAAAGCGTTCAAGATCATGGGCACGGATGACAGCTGTAACTTGTTGCTGCCAGGTCATAAAATTTCTTTCATCCAGTTTACATGTGACGGATTGGGAGAAGGTGTGGGAAACAGAATTGCTGGACATTGCGGAAGCGGAGGCCAGACAGAGAAATTAAACACTACGAACAGGATTAGCACAAGGAAAGACAGGGTTACCCAGAAAAGTGCGCAGGAAGCAAGCCACACGAAGAATCAAGATTACGGGCGCAGAAACAGAATCGCAGAAGGAATCACAAGCGCGGATAGCAGAATCGCGCAAGGTGAGGGAGGGCGCACGAAGCAAGCCACACGAATCAATCAACCAGACAAGGAATTAGGATCGTACCGAGCTCACGATGATACCATATAAGAGATAGAAAATCAATAAGAAACAGAGAATTAAGAGAGAGAGTAGGCAGAGAAGAATTTGTGTATTATTAGAGAAATAACAGTAATGATATCTGAAGGATATCAGTTACATATATAGGGCTAACAAACCTAACCAACTTGATGAGTTGGCAGTACTAACAGAAAACAGAAAATATACAATATTAGTACAAGAATAATAAAAGTATTTATTATTCTAGTCTCTTCTCTAATACAGATTAACTTTGTTTCATATCATAATTTGCAACAATAACATTGTTAGATATAAAACTATTCATGAGAGGACATTAAAGGAGTTGTTCATTGACAAGTGTTAGAGTCAAAGGACATTTATCCATATATGCCTAAGATGACATTTCGTAAGAATGAGAGGCAAGAGAATACTTTAAGCTAAATTTAGTGAAGGTTGCTTGTATTATAGATTTGGTAAAAGATTCTTGTGGCTCAAATATTTCTTATTCTAATGAAGGGTGGCTTAAATGCATTGACTTATGTTTTGAACATTTTCCATTTGTAATATAGAAGTCTTTTTTACTATGGAATTATTCTTATGTATAATTATCAATCCCTGTTCTATATGCATGTGTTCCTTTAGGAAGATGGTGGGAAAAAGATAGAACTGAAGCCAGGATTTTTGATGGAACATGATGAAAATGTAAGTACTCCCTGCTTCTTGATAACTAGCGATTTTTTGTTTAATATCATTCCTAGTACCTGTAAAAAGAAAATGTGTGTATTATTAGGTTGGAGCAGTTGTTGTTGGGTTTGATCGCTACTTCAACTACTATAAAATCCAGTAAGATTTCTAACACTGACACTGAAACATTATATGGAAATGTGTACGCACTCAAATTAGAAACATAGCAGCCTTGTGATTTGAAAAATAAGAGGTTTTGTTTGCATAGGCATTTTTTTATAATGTTTCCATTTTTTTTCCTGCAATTCAGATTCTAAGCAAAAGAAAGTTTGTTTTATTCTTTCAAATTTGTACTTGTACAGGCAGAAGATGTTTTTTATTTTATTTTATTTGGTTGGCAAAATCTGGGTTTGAGCATGGAATATTTTACTAAATTAACTGATGTAATAAGTATTTTCAAGTACAATATGTTTGTCTCACCCCCCTTTATGAGGTCTGAGATGAGTGAAAAGAAGAGAGACAAAATGGAAGGAGAAAGGCAGAGAGGGAAAGTGAGAAATGTGATATATGGTGTGTTGGAAAAGGAACAGAGAAATGAAGAGAGCATCCGAATATAAGAGAAAGGGGTTTGAGAGAGCCCTTCAACATATGACAAAGATGGCAATTCTATTTAAGTTATGCTGAGGTTAGTCGAAACTATTCATGGAATTATTAAAATATTACATTTTCCTTCGTGATGAAAGGTATGGGACACTCTGTATACGTGAAAACCCTGGATGTCTTTTCATTGCTACAAATCGAGATGCTGTTACTCATCTCACAGATGCTCAAGAATGGGCAGGTTTGTCCGTCTTCCCTCTCTTACAATTGATTTTATGTACTACTTTGTACATAATAATGTGCTAGTTGTTCAAATTTCCTTTATCATGCTACAATTACGGAGTTAGAGTAGTTTTCATTAAGAAAACAGCAAAATAAGCAGTTCCAAGCAGGCTCACAAACTAAAACAGTTAAACGCAATCAATAACATGGGGAATATGATAATGCAGTTACTTTTTTTTATCCCAATAGTCAATCATTCTTAAAACTACTCAAATAGTCAAATCTGCTATAATTTGTACTTGAATTTCAGGTGGGGGATCAATGGTTGGTGCCATCAGTGGATCTACTCAACGTGAGCCATTAGTTGTTGGAAAACCCTCAACGTTTATGATGGACTACTTAGCAAACAAGTAAAGCTTTCTATTACCTTATTCCTTATTCTCAGTGCATGATAGATAAATTATCTATGGCATAAACAATCTGAGGTGAGTGAATGGCATTGTGTTGCATAATGTTTGTGCATGGTCTTCCTATGATAAGACACTAAATCCTCATTTCTCCATTTATTCATTTTCTATCTCAAAATCATCTCTGTTGCTATATGGAACCTTTTCTCCTGCTTTTAAAGTAGTAATAAAGAAAGAAATGTTCATGCCTGGGGTTGAAGTGGAGATTTCTATCGGGCAAGGTTCCATCACATTATTATACGATCATTTTCTGCTTCCATTAAATTAACCTGTCATATTTATTCATCATAGACTCTTAGCCACAGATTGAATGTTAGTTTAATATTTTTCAATGTGGTAACACCCACCGTTGAGGTGGGCACTAGAAGTCCACAGGGGGCCCCATGGGGAGGGCTAGGGGAAACAGAGATGAGAAAGGGGCAAAGCACATTTGCATGTATTTTTCAAGTAGCTTGGCACGTAGACATTATAATGTGTTTATTCACACATACACGCGCACAGACCTAGGGAGACAGACATAAATAAGAGATTAGTTTACAGTATAAAAATAGATCAGTTTGTTACGGGTAATGTAATGGTGAAGAAATTGAAAGTATAAAGTTTTTATTAGAATGTGTACCATTTAATGCCACAAAAGCACCTCTTGATTTTTGATAAAACCCTATTTAGGGCAATGAATTGTAGAACTGTAAATAAAATTAGCAAAATATTTTGCTTTAGAATTTCTCTTGACTCTGTTCTTTGAACAACAGATTTGGCATTTCCAAGTCACAGATATGCATGGTTGGGGACAGATTAGACACTGATATCTTGTTTGGACAAAATGGTGGTTGCAAAACTCTTCTTGTGCTCTCAGGGGTCACCACACTTCCCATGCTTCAGAGTCCCAACAACTCCATACAACCAGACTTCTATACCAACAAAATTTCAGATTTTCTTTCTCTGAAAGCTGCAGCTGTATGACTATAATATTTATACATTATCCCCAAATGAGGGTGAGAAATGTCATGTATTAAGAAGTAAATTGCAAATAGATAGAGTTCCTTTGATTTTTTATTTCTCAAATAAAAATTTATTACTTTTATGTTACTAGATCATGAATCTATTTTTGATTATCTATCAATATAAAACTTGTTTATAATGTTAATTACTCAAACCCTCTCATGTTCAAAGTTGGTCCGTCAATCAGAATTCATAAAAGGAGTCCTAACTATACGTTGGTCGAGTCACAAAGAAAGAAGAGTTTACAAGTCCTTTGATTGAGTTATCGTTGTTGAATCAAAAAGTAAAAATGAAAATAAAAAGATGTTGAATTTAGGAGTATTTTTAAGAGTAATGTTTTCCAAGCAATAGAATTCGTGATATACACTTGTTGTCTTTTTTGTAGGTCATCTCCCTAATTGAATGAAGGGCAGTTAGTAATTAGAGAGTTGAGTGTCCTAATCTCTCTAGAATCTTTAATTTCTAGCGATAAATTTCTAAGATAGTCGCACATCTCTCTGTAGAATCCTTAACTTTCTTAGCCGACCAACATGGTCTGAGATCACAGCAAGAGTGAAATTGAGTGCCTCTATGAATCAGGCCAACATTTTCTATAATGTCTGAAAAAATTTCGAAGAGCACATTTAGCGTAGAAAAGAAAACATTAAATGTTCAATATCAATACCAATTAGGTTATTCAAAATATGCCGATCAAAACAACAGATCTCAAAATATAACAGTACGAAAAAAAAAAGACCTCAAAATATAAAACGGGCAAAACTGATATTATATGGTAACTGAACTTCTGATTGACAACAAGTTGATATATTGGTAATCCGACAACAAAAAAGATGAATGAAAAGAATAGCCAACCAACCACACAACTAATTACATCATAGTCAAACAAACACAATCTATCAGGAGAAAAAAGCATCAAATTCTCCAACAAATGAACGAATCATCATGATCAGCAGAGAAGCAGCTGCAAGTGTCTTGTTTTTGTTTTTGTCCAAAGTCCAAACCAACCAAGACTCAAACTTGGAAGGGCCATGGCCAATCCTTCAAGTCCTCATCCTGCTGCACCTTCCCACTCCTCACAGGCACAACAGCCCCACTATTCCCCTCAACACAAGCATAGTACTTCAAGAAGAATGCCAGCACCAGCACCACCCACTCCAAACAAAAGATCAAAATAGTGAGTCCACCACCCAATTTCAGAATCACAGCACCATCTTCCTCCCTCACATAGGACTTCAACTCCCCAAGAAAGTCCCCAGTCCTGGTGAACACCAGCACCGCCACGGACCCCTGGAAGATGGCAGTCAGAACGGTGGCCACCATGTGAGCAGAGTACCACCGGTTGGTCCCCACGGCGGCGCAGCCCGCGACGGCACCGGCGATGGTGAGGACGTGGAGGAGGATGAGGAAGAAGCCGCAGAGAGAGGGAATGAGGCGCAAAGAGAGGGTGAGGAAGATGCAGCTGGAGGCTGCACCCAAGAGGATGTAGTTGCAGAAAAGGAACACCTTGTGGGTGTTGTAGTGACGAGGAGTGATGGAGGTGTTCATTGTGGAGAGACCCATTTGGGATTAGAGAGCAAAGATTGGAACTTTGAGAAAGGGGAGTGCAGTTGCAGTGGTTGTGATGATGTTTATGTTCTGGGAATGTGATGGGTAGTGTTGAGGGTGGTGGTTGCTATTATAGGTGCTTAACGGTCATATTTTGTGTTTGGGTCGGTGGAATGTGACCGTTGGGGGAAAGGAGATCCAGCCAGCTGGGATGTGTAACGTTAGAGTCCAACGTTAGTTTCTGTCTTTCACTCTTTTGGTTTTGGGTTCACATTTGGCGTTTTTCGTTTCTTTTAATTTGGGTTTAATTTTCTTGTTTTGTTTTGGGTTCATGGGGTTTTCTTTTCTTGAAGAAGATTGTGGGTCAGAATTCTTATGGTTTAAAGTTTAAAGTTTAAATTAAAGAGAAAATGAGATAAAGAAATTTTTTATATTTTGTTTCTAAACTTATTTTTTTTTCTTCCTTTATCATCCATTTAAAAAAAAAAAATCTTGTGTCCAACATCAGTGTGTTTGAGTATGATTTCAAAATCATTTTCAACATGAGCTCGTTACTCTTTTTTCCTTTTCAGTTATTAGTTTATTGGAATGTGTGAAATATATTTTATATGAGCAAATAAACACGTACTTTTTCATAGCTTTTCTAATTAATTTTGAAAGGGCATATAAGGTCGCTAACATATTAAAATGAGTATACAATTTTTTTTAATGGAATTCAATGTGATTTAACGTTAAATATCTTCTAGATTAGGAATTATTTGTTTTTATAAAATTAAACTCCTTATTTTTCTAATTAAAGAGAGCTTATCACTTGATAGGATTGAAACCAATAAAAATCAAAGAAATATATTTTTTCACAGAAGCACTGTATTTTGCATATTGAATTTGTTTATTTTAGGAAAATAATTACATCTGTAATATTTTGAGAATTATTTTTCAAAAAAGAAAAAATCATTGGTTCTAAAATAGACATTTCCAGGCCCGTTTATTATCTGGATTTTATGCAACCAAACAATATGAAGTTTATAAAACAATACACTGAACTCGGAAGACTTCGATCAAATTTTAAGATCCACTAAGAATATATGCATACAACGTGCTCGTTTTCCTTGTCTTGTCTTGTCTTGTCTTTTTTTTTTTTTTTTTTTTTTTTTTTTTTTTTTTTTTTTTTTTTTTTTTTTTCTTCCTCTTTTTGGTGGAATGTAATTTTATCTATATTGCACTGTGATTTTGGTTATCTTGTCTATATTGTACTGATGTGAATGCTTGGTGTGGTTTGGGCTTGATTTTTACACCTCTTTCTTATTCGAATCCCCTCCCATAAGCCGAATTTAAGATCCATGTTTATACTTTAAAGAATTTATTTTATGATTCATTATTATTTTCCAAAAACTTTTAATTTAAAAATTTTCAGAATTAAATAAAATAATTTTTTAATTCTAATTCCTTCAATATACTAACATAATCATTATATTTGTTTAGACTAAATTATATTTTTGATCTTTTATCTTATTTTTTTAATTTATTTTAATTATTTATCTTTTAGAATATTTATTTTAGTCTTTTATCGCTTAAATTTAGGTTAATTTAGTCATTTTAAACTCTTTCCTTTTACTAATTTAATACTTAAAAAACTTGCATCATTAATTTCACTTATATAAAAACTATTAAATGTCGGTAAAGTTCAAATAAAAAATATTATATATATAGTAAAAATTGAAAATTTTAAAAAAATCTAATTCCACCCTATTTTCTAGTTGTTATGGATATATTTCCCACATGATTTTCACTATGCTTATAGCCCTTTTGGATTCGAACAATAATTTTTTTTTTGTGATTTTCATATGGATGACTCTAATATTATAAGTTTCACATCTTCATTTAGTTAAAATTTGATTCCTGCAAATTGAAAATGATCATTGTTCTAAAATGACTAAATTGATCTACATATGAAAAGATAAAGGTAAAAAATAAATATTTTACTAATAAAGGACCAAATTGGATGTAAAAAATAAGATAAAAAATTAAAAGTATAATTTAACTTTTAAAATAAATATTAATAATAAACATTTTTCTTAACAAAAAAACACATTTTTTTATGCACTACAATTTAAAAAATTACAGTTAACTAATAAGAAATTATGAGCATGTTCAGAATAACTATAAAAATTAAATTATTTTAATAATTAATTCCACGTAATCAGAATGAATTTTTGTTTGTGTAAGTTTCTGAAAATAATTTTTTAAATATTCTAATTCATTTGGATAGAATAAAAACAATTAGCTTTCTTACAGTAAATTATGAAAGATGTATGAAGGTAAAAGGAAAAATAAAACTATTGAAAAATTTCGGGGTAATTTGAAATAACATTCTTTAGTGAGAAAAATGTTGTTACAAGATAATCATAAATTGAAAATTTTTATATACATGAAAATAACTTTTTTTAAGAAAAAAAAAACAGTTGAACTCTTCAAAATGAATCTGTCCCAAACATATTCTTAAAATACTTATAAGAGTCAACAAACTATACATAAAAAGTTGGAATTAAATGACAATGAGCATACATTACCCTTTTAATGTATAAACTATTTACTCACTAAAATTTCTATAAGTATTAATACATCACCCGCGTACACCAATATGTATATATAGAATTTACCAACGTATATTTACTATTTTTAAAGAGTACTACAATTATCTTAACCACTTGATGCGTACTCATTAAAAAAAAAAAGAAAAACGCTTGATGTGTAACATACTAACGTACACATTCAAAATAAGTACTATTTTTTTTTTCTAGAAAAAATACATTAACAAATTATAACATCATTTTTTTAAGATATACCAAAGTATAACTTACGAAGATACTCTATTAGCCCCCCATAAGTTGAGCAACCGTTGGTTTCACCAAAGCAAAATGTTACATTAATACTGCTACCAAATTTGCTATTCATTTGGCTTCACCCACAATTTAAATATATAGCCGATGCCTTATGAAAATAATTAAGCTCCTTGTATTGAAGGCAAGTCAATTTTGATTGAATCATCACCCACGCCTTGAACTATTTTCATCCCTTTTCCGAACTGGAAAATTACCAACGAAAGAGTTATCGATCCTGAAAATAATGTATATTTTTTTTACTTTAGTTATTATAATTTTTAATTTATAAAAAGTACAAATTAAGGACTTAGGCCATGTGAGTTTTGCCATATTCAAAAGCTAAAACTAAATAAAATTTAGAGATTAAACCAAAAAAACAATAATATTTTCAAGGACCAATAACTTAATCAAAAAGTAAAAAGACTTTACGCCAAGCGACCCTATCCATGAGGGGCCACACATCATGACTAGACCTTAAAGTGGACAGTACAGAAAACTACACACTATTAAAAGGATAGTTACAGTTAGATACTATACAAACAAAAGTACAGAAATGTTCTTTGTCCACCGACAGTTAAATTACAATGAGCTTCCCATAAATTTTATGCCTAGAGAAAGTAGAATACCATTCTTACTTGGAGGGATGCGTTTAAACGACATACAAATTAGCATCTGTAACTTACAAACAGTGACATTTTACAAAAATATGTACATTAAGACCCAGAATAATCAATAGGATGATACATGTACCACTTTAACCCCCCAGCCATTGAACTAAAACTGAACAGCTAAATTCTATCTCAAAAAAATTATAAATGAAAATCCATAGCTAAATCGGGGGAAATATTGAAAATATTATCCCAACCCTGCAGATTTTAGCCAAACTACCACCGCATGGATCTTTACAACTATATCTGCCACTCCTACACGATGATTCAGAAATCTGACTTCATAAGCTTCATTCGAGGTTTTATGTTAATATTTGCAAAGGGTTTTGTTTGTTCTACATGGACATAATCCCTTGTCTTGAGAACCTGCAATCATGGTCGAAATTAAATGTGAACCAATGCAAAAGTTGCCGAGAAAGCTTTTGAAGAATTCAAAAAAAGCATATGAAGTAACACATCCAAGGTTTGTGTGAGCGCACTAGAAAAATCTCGCATCATAAAAGGGAGCTGTGAGTGTGACCCCTCCAAAGCAAATATTCAACTAAGAGAACTACCAATAAAGCTAAATCAATAGAATATGTTTTATGACCAAGATCAAGACACTGTTCTCAGCCCCCCTTTGGTGTTCATCCCAAGGGTATTTGACTCCGACTTGCATAGCAGCCCTACTGCATTATTAGTTTTTCCCTTTCATTCACTTCCCCTACCTTCTCTGTTGGGCTTATAAAGAAAACCTTGTTCTCGGCTCATTGTTAATAATTTCTCTCTCTCTCTCTCTCTCCTTCTCTATTAAAATATTTCAATTATTATAATCCTAAACGTGAAGATGTTAAATTAATGCCACAAGATCATTAGACAATAGATATTAAATACTATGTTTGTAATTCTCAATAGCATACCAGAGTTTCGAAAAACATCCGTGATGCTTCCTTTCGTGTTTTACCGACTAATAAGTTGTCAAGATGCAGCTCCTGCCTTCCATGTAGTTCTTCCTTATCAAACACAGTCTGCAGATACTTGGCAACAGCCCTATGGATAAATGCATTAGTTAGCTATTGAAATATAACATGCATGAAACTGGGAGTCACTGCATAAAAATCTTACCAAAAATGAATTCACGCAGAAAATTTAGTTATATGATCCTAAACAATATAGATAAATATATTTTGGTACTTTAGCAAGATGACTTAAAAGCTAAAACTGTTTAAGTTATATGATTCAGTGCACACAACCACAATTTATGGGCTTCTTTAAAGTGAAAAAGGACTCCTCATAATAGCAAATGCAGTGATTTGTCCATATATTCTGGGGAATACACACGATCTAAGGTGGCTGGGGGGAGTTTTAAAAGAAATGAAATTATTTGAACTGCACCAAGTGTAAGAGAGAACTCGTGTACACTTCCGGCATGACAAAATGTACAATGTTAGGTCCAAGTTTCACATATATGCTTATAATGAGGAAAAAATATCAGTCACTTTCAATGCAGAGAAAATTTAGTTATTAAAGTTTTGCACAAACAAACCTGGTCCGGGAAGACCATCCACTATTTTCAAGGTGAGTTCCTTCAGCACTTGCTTGATAATCATCATCATCATCAATTATATCATCATCACCAACATTCAAAAACTCTGGGAGAATACAGAGAGAATGAGTTAAAACAGATCAAATCATCAAAGAAACATAAAATATAGCAGCAATAAAAGCTTCACTCTCCTGCTTCACAACCTATTGCCTATATTTGACACATTAATATTTATTTGCATATCCCCAACGAATTAAAAAGGGGGAACCAGTGTCCATTACAATAAGCTGCAAAAAATCACAGAGGACATTTTGTACAGCTTAGTGAATACAGATAAAAAAACTAATCAAGAGTATACAATACTCTAATAGCTTACACAGCTAATTAACATCTATAATCTGCAGTCGCATCTACAATTGAATAATATCCTATTATTTGCTAAATATGTTGACAAATCTAGGCTAGTATTCCAGCATATGATTTATTAAACTAGAAAACTACCTATAGATCAATTCCATATGGTTGTAAATATTGACACATAAAGCACTTTCATAAAATGAACAATGAGGAGCATTTAGAAGCAAACCTGTGTCATTAGCAATCATGTCATTTTCCTGCACCATGTAGCCATAGAACTTAATTAGGCATAAATACAATTGTAAAGAAATACCACATAAACAGCATCTTAATGAAAACTATCCTGCCAAAGTCTAGGAACAGCACATCACATTTTACTTCAAAATCAAATTTTCAAAGACTTGTCACCCAATCATGCCAATGACCAAGAACCGAAAATAGAACATGTACAAGCACAATAATATTTAAAAATAAAATGAAAAATGAAAAATTATATGCATGAATCAGGGAATAATGAAATTAACAGAATTACTCATTCTAAGGCAATGTCAATGAAGAGAGGCTAAGTGCTCGCAGAAGTTAGGTTCACCTGCTGGTTGGATGGGGTGCCTTTTATGACTAACATATTGCTATTTTCCTGAACCTTAGATACTTAGGGTACCTTACTTCACCATTTATCTCTTTGGTACCAATTTTAATCTTTAGGGCTGCTACATCTATTTTGACTTTCACAATGAATGTTAGGCTTGAGCACTTAATTTATATGGAAAATTACTGAAAAACAATCATGCATGCTTCTAATTGAATTTTTAGTAAAAAATATTTCAATAATATACTGCATGTTACATGACATCATATATTGAACATGATCAGCTTCAGGAAACAACACGAAAAATATGGCATTATAAGCATGAACTGCTCCAGAAATAGCACTAAAAATATGGCATGATACAAAGCAACATAAGAGTGACAAGACAGAAAATGATTAAGAACCACAACACACTAGTCCCAGCATTAGTAGCTTTAATTGTTCCGAGAATTGAGAAATTGCAAAAAAAAAAAATTATATATGAAGACCACTCTCAAAACCCAAATTCTAGCTCCTGCTTAAAATCCAAACTTCATTACGAAATTTTCTTCAACCATGTCCATGATTACAGTTCCATTAAGAAAAAAAAAATCTTGAAATAAAAAAAAAAAAGTTTCTGCCAATAATAAATTTCAGTCACATAGCACAATGTAATCAAACAACACAAATTGTTGTCAGCTATATCAGATATGTTAAATGAGTCTAGTAGAAGAATAAGAGACAAGTAACAAATAAAATATATCAAAAGAGGCATTTAACTTAGGGAAGAGAACTTACATCGTTCTGATCTACCAAAGGACTCCTAGCAGCTATGATTTCAGGGCACATTGTACTTAGTAGTCCAGCTTCCTGACAGACTGGGTTTTCTTCATCTTTCAAAGCACTCTCTTTTTCATCTAAACCAAGTGTTTCTGATTGTAAACAATCTACTTTAGCAGTTTCAATAAATATGGAACCAGACCTTGCATCCTTGTCATCACACTCCATGCCAGAAGCAATAATTTGATCCTCATTTAACAGCCCTACTGTGCTGTTTCCATTGTCCTCTAATGGTATGTCACCATTAAAGGAAGCCTGAATATCAGCAAATTCATCAGTTTCTTTAGATCCAGTAGCCAAGGATGCATATATATCATTGGCTTCCACACCATCTGTTTGAACTTGTATTCTAGTTTCCATGCTAGGCTCAATAGCACCTACTCCATTTCTTTCGCTTTGATTCTCCACAAACTCACCCTCTAGAATAGGGAATGTATTCATATTCTGAGCATTTGGGATGCTCAATATATCAGTATGGATAGAACCAACGAGATCATTGGTTTTGTCCATGAGAGTCAGTGATGCGGCAAAATCATTTTCTAAGACTTCAATTAAGGATGAAGATTCATTCCCAGGGCCAATAGAGCAATTCTCTGCCTCAGAAACTGCAATATTTCCTCCAACATTGTTCATTACAACATTTTGAGAGCTGTCAAGCTCCTCCACATGAGAAATAATATTTGTGTGCCCGTGAGCATCAATATCATGAGATCCCAAGTTAACCTCAGACTGATGATTCTCAGACAAAACAGGCATCTCAGTAGGTTGCACTTCTGCATCTTCTTGGAGTTGGACTGCCATAGGTTCATTGTTCCCCTCCATTCCATGAATTTCAGTATTTGTTCTAGAATATGACTCTTGAATGTTTGTTTTTTCTACGTGAGAACTATCTAAATAGTTATCAGAAACCTTGATTCCAGTCAGATCAAATGTCTCATTTCGCAGAATAGTCAAATCAGTAGACAAATCTGGAAGATGAGAGAATTGACTTAAATAATGTTAGACGGAAATTTCATAAAAGAATATGATGAGACTCTTGAAATAGAGTAAATGAAAATGGTTTAATCACAATATTTTTGAAAATGGCCACATGCTCTCATAAAAATAGATTTTTGAAAACAATTGACAACAATTGAAAAGGAACTGATGTGACCATCCCATAGATGAAGAAACAACATTTAGTAAACCACTTTAATCTGCCCAAAACAAAAAGAGTGATCTTGTCAAATATCATTTATGTTTCTTAATTAATAGGCAATAGCCATCTCTATAAAAAAAAATATTTAAGAGATGCAACAAAATATATTAGAAGCTTCACTAATGGAGGAAAATGGTGTCATTAAATTTACAGTTGATTTGGTGCAACATATGATCATACAACTATTCCTTTTTCTTATATCAAAATGAATGTACCTACAAAAGGCTGCTTTGCAAAACATAAAAAATGTACTTAGAATGTGTTTGGTTTGTTTTCTGCTACCATTTTCAGTTTATATGTTTTCACTAGCAGTAACAAAAATACCAACTTATTTTCATTTGTTTTGTGTTTCCAGGATTTTGTGTACGAAGTTATAAAAAACATAACAAACCAAAATTATTAGTGATGAGCATAATCACTTTATTTCAAGGATTTTAACTTGTTAAAGGGAGGTGAGAGAGGTTTGAGCAAATGCTCGAAATAATCAACAATACAACATAAAGATAGGCAAATGCACAACTCACCTGTAAATATTGGTTCATGAAAAATTTCATCCTCCAAAAATTGTCTTTGAATCATTAAAATCTCATGACTAGTGCAAGGAGCTTTTTTCCGAATGCGACGTATGTCTTCAGTATTTGTCAACTGTTGGCGTATTGTACTTCAAAATAGAGAAGGAAAAACCATTAGTATGCTGGGAACCAAAAGGAGAGTGGTATGCTATGTAAGGCTAAAAACCAATAGTGGCTTCATAAATTTTATAATAAATTAAAATGTGAGCAAAGTATGACAGTAGAAAAATTCGAGTTTATTATAAGTTACATCTATCACCAATCAATTTAAGCAAGATATCTGTTCTCAAGTTATCCTTTAGTAAATAAAAGTTACTTTGCACCTAGCCCAGGGAACAAACTAGAAGTAAATAATTTGGGAACATGACAAAGGGTAAACAAATAGTGCAAAAAGTAGAGCTCTAAATAAATGGGTATGATATTTGCGAGTTAACTGGATAACCAACCAATATTGATCTCAGTATTTTTATCATACTATACATCATAACTAAAGATACAAAAAAAAATTGAGCATATCTAAAAAATTATCTCTTCTTCCAACTGTGCTGAGTGGTTTTAGCTATTTAGTTACCTTTAATACAAAAAAATCAATTGCTAAGCCAGGCTTGCCTTGGCAGTTAAATAGAGAAAAAAGAGTGCAAAGATAAATTATCAGAAATAGTAAAAAGAAGGGAGAAGGATAGATATCTAATATCTGAAAGATTAAAAATCCATGACAAACAATATTATGTTTTTCACTCTATTCTAATCAATATAAAATAAAGTGGATAGATATGTACAAATGAATGGATGGAACATCATAAAAACATACTCGCCATGCAAGACCATCATATCATCCATAAGAACCTTCCTCTTTAAGGCACTAGTACGTGGTGCAGAACGAGTCCGCTTCATTGATGCTATTTCAGGGGCTGCAGGACTAGGTTTCATTTTCAAAACTGAAGATTTTCTACCAACTGCAGCAACAACAAATTCTTTTCAGCCTCAACCTCATTCTCAAGGAAAATAAAGACTGTAACTAAATATATATAGCAAAAGCATTAAAAGTCCACTGTTATACCTAATATGGATGACAATAGATCATCATCATCAGGAACAGACTCAGTAGTTCTCTTGGATTGAACTCCCCCATAAGATTCAAAGAAATCCATACTCTGCACTGTAAGAGTACTTTCTGTGAAGCTGCGTTTTTTACCAGAGATGCAATTTACTCCCGCAGCACCGGTATGGCCTTCAGATGCACCATGGATGTCAGGAGTAGATGTCATCAGCAAATCATTTGCTTCACCATCATGCGGATAAGCCAAGGAGAGCAATTTTTCAGGCTCTGGCATGTCAGTAGCAGCAGATTTGTTTACACTTTCTACATTTTCATTGAATATCAGACTCTCAATTTGCATATCTGTTTTTCCCAAATCAGGTGTTCCTTCACATACAGATGGAACCATAGTTTCTTGGTAACTTAAAGCAGGATTTGAAACATCAACATGACACTTTTCACCTGTTAAAAGTAAAAGCAACAGATTACCTAAAATGGAATTCTGCATGTTTAATAATGTCCATCAATCAGATTAACAATTAAATGGAGTAACTTAACAACAAAACAGAATCACCTCAAATTACAAAAAGAAAAGATATAATTAATATCATGTTAATTACTCACGCAGAAAACAAAAAGAAAATTCAAATGAGAAGTGTATGTCAAAATGTAAAAGTCAACAACATCGTGGTGAAACAATGTTCAAATATCACTATGAATTCTGAATCTTGTTATAATTTGTTTCTGCATTGCCCACCAGCATCTTTAGAATAAATTGTTCAGTGTTTTTGGTGAACACTGGTTTGTCTCAAGGACCTTCTGAAGCTCCTTCATGTTCAGATGTTTTGGTAAAAGGAAAGATACCAAAAAACCTTTGGTGGTGTTCTCAGTCGCAGTTCTTTGGTGTATTTAGTCGGAAAGAAGTGCTAGAATCTTCTCGGGACAGCAATCTTCTACTGAGTTAATTTGGGATCAAGTAGTTTTTCTAGCCTCTTTGTTGGATTCTACTCATGGTCTTTCAAAGGAGTGTCCTTAGAACTCCAGAGATTGCAATGCTATGCCGCATGTTACATAATATCTGCTTCATTTTTTTTGTTTTTTTTGGTTGTCATCTTTAGTCTCTTGGGATTTCTTATCTTTATTTGTAACTTTCTTTTCTCTCTGTTAGAATAGCTTATTAGGGAAGCTTTTGTATTTAATATTATCTTCTTTTTGTATGTCTGATCAGCAGTCCTAGGCTCTTAGCATTTTTCTTCATATGTTGTATGTTTTTATATACTCAATCAAGTAATGAAGAAAGAGTGAGAAATACTTTTCCAAAACCATCTTAACATTCAAGTCTCTCTTAATAAATTCTACTTACCTAAAATAAATGTAAAATTGTATTATAATAACAGACAATGTTGTCAAGATCGAGATTCTACTTAGGATTGAGAGGGGAGCTGCACGATCGTAAAACATAGTATCATAACAAGGATTGTAAGACCCTACCTAAGTGTAAAATTATATGTTTATACATACACACACTCACTGAAAATATGAAGAGGAAAAAAAACTATAAATGACAACATTAAAGCAAACTTAAACCTAAAATTTCACAACCATAAGTGCAAAATATAGCACTCAGTCATGTTCACGGCAGAGAGAGGGTCAAGAATGAGACTGAGAAACTGAATGCACCCACAGCAGAGAGAGAGGGTCAAACCAAGACTGAGAGATGAGAGGGAGAGGCCGAGAGAGAGAGAGAAGGCGGGTCTAGGTCTGAAAATGGGGGAGAAGTGGAATGCATTGATTTAGGTCACCAAAAAGCAGGTTAAAACACACAAGGGGAAAAATGGATTGAGCAACCCGGCCCAGAAAACCCAGTGCACAAGATTAGGGGAAAAATGTCTGATTTCACAATGATCCAACTCCAACCTTACTTCAAATCCCACTGTCTCACAATTTTACTCACAATCCACCTCAGAAGCAGGGAGCAAGATCGTCACAATTTCACTAGCAACCCTAACAACACCGATAACAGAACTCTTTGTGATGTACCCATTCCCTCCGGATGTTACAGCAAAGTACATGAAGAAAGAAGAAAAAAAATAATTAAATTGTGTATTAAATCCAGGATGGCAGCACATAGCAGCCGGCCCCAAAAAAGCTATAATGGGAAAGTGGATCGTGGGATAGCCACTATTCTGAAATTCTGATATAGTTTATATAATTTATACCATATAATAAATATAGTTATTAAAAATTCTAAAAAGAAAGGCATTAAGTCTTCAAAAATGAGGCAGAGAATGATAACATACAGATAAAACATAGGCAGAGAAACCAGTTGCTAAAAGAGAAAACACAGGCAGAGAAAGAGAGCAACCAGTCGTCAGAGTGCTGGGTCGAGAGAAATGAGGTTGAGACATCATACACAGAAGCAAGGGTTGGGTTGAGAGAGAAAGTGAGAAATCATAGCTTTTAGATTAATTATATAAGTTAAAATATTGTTTTGGAAATTGAAACCCCCAAAATACCCCCACCAAATAAGTCATAATGTTAGTGTTCAGAGGGCTTTTCTGGAATAAAGAGATAATGCTAGCATCCTATCCATTACGGCCACTATTTCACCCACAAGCAATACACTGAACTGCACCACTATTTAGAACCCCTGATTAAAATGATATAAATCATGTGAGATTAATTTGTTATATTGATACCTTCAATAAATGGCAGAGAAGGATGGCCCGGATGGGAGGTGCATGGTCTAAGGACTGATTCAGTGGGCTGCAAGGCTTCATGAGATAAATGGTTTAAAGTTTCTGCTTCTTTTGGTTCTTGAGAGGCAACAGCTTCCACATCAACAACTTCAGGTCTACCAGGAGATCCGATTGGACTAATAACATTGGAAACTTGAGCATTGTCAAGCAGACAGGATTGCCCTTCACTCTTAGAAATTTCAATGTTACTCAGAACTTCATGCTTTGATACTGTGTTACCATCCTCCAAATGACCATCTGATCCTGGATCCTGAGATCCATCCTTGTTAGACAACAGTTTACATGACAGGTCCTCTTGATCAGAAGTAACATGAGAACAACCAAGAGTCGCAACATTATCATTGTTCATCAAAGGAGCAGAAACAACACAATTTGTATCAGTTTGATCCAAAGAAACAGAAATTGGGTCATGGTTCATCAAAACTCCATTATGCAAGTCCTCCTTCTCAGGTACATCAGAAGCATTAATCACCCCATGTTCACATTCTGGTAACAGGGTGGTAGGGTACTCTTTATTTGAAGGGTCCACCAAGGATAACGGTGTTAAGCAATGATCATTGGGTGTCAAATTTTCTTGATCCTTCATCACAACCTGACATGCTAAATGCTCCTGCTCCTCTCTTTTGCTATCCATTTTAACCAGATCACGGCCATTATCTTCATGATGCAAGTCTAAAGAAATATGATTCCCATTACTTTGCAAGGAGCAATCAATTACATCATTCTCCCTTTGGAGACCAGAGAATTGTTTTTGTGAGGCCTCCATTGATATTAAATCAGCAGAATTATGATAATCAACTTCATTATTGCACTGATCCATTTGAGTTCCAAATAAATTTGGTTCTTCTAGACCAGGGGTAGATGGACCTTCAGCATATTCGCGTACTTCAGCAGTGGAGGGTAAATCATCAATCTGTTCAAAACCAATCAGATCACTAAATAAAACCAGAAGAAACTACAATCTGTAGAAACAGAACGCATTTCACCCACTTTCCAACAAATAAAAGAAAGAGAATAAAGAATATAAGGAATAAAACCAAAGATTGATAGGCATGCAAATATTTTAAAATATCAAATCAATCTTGCTTCCACTATGTTCAATCTCAGATTTTACTTACCTCCTCTTTCTTTTCATCATTTTGATGAGACATTTGAGGACTAGCACCAATGTCATCATGTTCCAAAGTAGCAGCTTTGTCATTTAACAAAACCTGATTTTATCAAATCATGTTAAAATCTCCAGAAGTAAAATAAGAATAATGTATCTGCAATTCTACATAGTCAATTTAAAGTCAATTATTCTCCAAAGCAATACACATCAAGATACTTTGTTTATGGTTGTGTCAAATCAAAAGCATGAAGTGTTCCAAATTTCCAATAACATAATATCCGGGCAACAAAACAATAATATCCAATTCAGTATGTTGGGTTCAAACTACATAGATCACATTTAATCAATCAGCTCCATGCATAGGATGCTGTGGAAAACGGAAAACAAATTACCTCATCAAGGTCTAACCCAATTTGAGAAGTATCACCATCACCAAAGCGCTCTGCAAGACATGTTTGTGTTAAAATTACTTGGCACATATCTCTCCATAGCATATTTAAAATGCACTATCAAAAAAAAAGTACAAAGAGAAACAGAAAGAGACAAAAAGATATACTAACCATCCAAGCCAAACTGAGAAGTAGTGAAAACCACACCCTCCATAGTATCTTGCAGTGTAATCTGCTCCCTAGTACTGACATGGTGATCAACATAATTACTGCAAGTTCGCAACATATAAATTTTTCCGTTAATAAAACAATAAATCTTCCACATGAACCATCTTAGATAGAATCACCAATTAGGATATAGAGAACTTCTGAAAAAGCACAGCCAAATAAAATATCAGCAACTTAAAAATTCAGGCATTATTATAAAATTTGTATCAGTCATCTGAAAATGCCAAGGAAGAAGCTGATACAAGAGCTTAGATAAAGCCACTGACAGATGCTTTCAAATGAAATGAAACAAATTAAAATTAGATAAAAAAATCAACTTAAAGTAAAAATATTGTTGCAGAAAGCAATAGCTAAAGCTAAAATTGATCAAATAATCAAGTATTTAGGAACTAACCCTTGAAGAATGTCACTATCTGGCAGTTCAAAATCATCAAGATCAAAAGTCTCAGGTAAGGTGATGGAATGGTAAGGTGCAGTGGACTCTTCAGGAGGCAAATCAACTGCTGTGGAGCGGAAAGCTTGCTTAATCTTAAGCAAGGCTTCGCTGCAGTCATCAAAAAGGTAATTCACCTTTCTAGAATATATCCTTACCACACCAAGAAGAAGATGGCTGGATAAACGGAGTGCAATTGGTACTTCAGGAAAGAGAATGGAATCTGTTCATTCAAAAAATTGAATAAATAAATGATATGAGATGATAAAATATGATCAAAATTAGACAACACAAAATGCAGCATGTTCAAATACAGCATACAAAGGAATATTACTCATAACAAATTTTAAGCAATCAAAATGAATTCATGCAAATGTATGGTAGTCCTCACTCATTCTCCATATATAGCTATATTACTAATCCTCCTTTCAGATTTTACAATCTTAAAAAAACTTGCGTGAAATATATCTACTGAGAGACAACTATCCAAATCAAGGCAAACTCTTTCTCTTAATAAGATCAATATATTTTACTTTATTATTACTACTAAGGAAAAGAAAGGCACCCTATGCCTCTCTACATTTTTTTTAAAATGAGTGAGGAAGTTATATAGAAAAGGAGGATGCGGAGTGAATTTTATAATAGTTAAAGGGTAAAATAAGTAACTAAAATGTGTAAACTAAAACTTCAGTTATGACAAGGTGAGTGTGATCAATTATCAGGTGCAACAGAGGGGTAAAGTTGTCTAGGGAAAAGTAGAAACCAATATACCATTATATATTGGTATAGATTATGAGCCCGTTTGTTGAAACTTTTTTTCTTCAAAAATTTTTTTTTTAATAAAATAAACAATTTTCTGCTTTTTTAATGTGTTTGTCTAAATTGCTTATTTTAAAAATTAGCAGCTTTTTTGCTTTTTTTTATTTAAGAAGCAAATTCAATCTGCTTAAAAAAAACAATTTTTTAAGAAGAGCTTTTTTTTAGTTTAAACAAGTATTATTATCACTATTATTATTATCATTATTATAATTATTTAGCCTAAAAGAATAGTTTCAATTAAATGATTAAGAGAAGAGAAGAAAAGCACAACAAACTTGGAAGATCAGTAAACTAACAATATGCTAAATAATTAGGTGACCACAAAAGGCTCTAGTTCAGAAACAGTTGCTCACTTTTGTTTTACACTGCCCAACAAATAGATTCATTTGGAAGATAATATTTTAAGGATTTGCTGACAACTAGGTCCCTTGTAATCTAGATCAATTACTTGCAAACTACAATCAACTTCAGGGGTTTCATTTGAACTGAGGAGGGGAAGGCTAAGGCAGTGAGCAATCTTCACTGTTCTTTGGAGTGTCTTCTTTGAAAGAAATGTCTTTATATTAAGAAATTTATTCAGCCAACAAACACATCTGTTGTGGGACAAGATGGTCTTTTCTGCGTCTCTTTAGAGCACAGCTAATGGTCTCTTTCAGGGGGTGTCTGTAGCAGATATGCAAATGGAATGGAAAGCTTAATTGTTAAACATTTTTGCCTATTTGTTCTTTGTTTCTCTTTCGAGCCCAAGCTAAACTAGGTTTTCTAATCTCCTTGTTGATTAGTACCTTTAGCTATCTATCTATCTAATATAAAATGAGAATGGTTCTTATGTTAAGAATGCAAGTTCAGTAAATTTTAATCACACATGGATCTATTTCCATTAATCTCCACAATAACCAAGCATTCTCACTTGATTAACTCCCTATATTTACGAGAATATCTTAGATTATCCTCTAGGTTTAGTTTCCCTATTTCTCCCATAACTCTTAGGATTGGTTACCTTCTTTTCTTATCATATTTATTTTACTGATGATTAGTTAGAATTAAGACTAAAAAAATAAGGATTAGTGCTTTAGGTTTTATGAGCACACCAATGCATTACAATACATCTCACTTAATATAAATGTGTTTCATTCTCTTTTATCTCTCTTCCTTCCTTAATTACCTAAAACCCCATAATTTCAACAATATATATATATGTGTGTGTGTGTGTGTGTGTGTGTGTGTGTGTGTGTGTGTGTGTGTGTGTGTGTGTGTGTATTATATATATGGCTAGAAGATGAATAAACATGATCTAAACAAACTTCCAATGGAAGATGCAGCAGGCATGATTTTAGGTGAATAATAACCAGGAAGCATTCATCAACCACTCTAGCTTGATCTTCTTCCAAAATTCCCCCAATTGATTTCCCACTTCCATAAAGAATGATATATCTCAGAGTATTCATAGCATGAAAATATGAATTTACAGAGAAAACAAACCATAAGAATAAGTCCAACACTTAATGCAATAACTAAAATCAAATGAAGATAGCTATCATGGTCACTAAATGGCATTAACGATGGCTGACAGTTCTATGCTAGCCTAATAGGACCAGTAAGTCCTCAGCACAGTCCCACAAAAAGTCTTCCACATTGTTCATGATCCTTTTGTCAGTAAGTCAAGTGTCCCTCTAAGAGTGTTCTTTCTAGCCTGACACCATATAACTAAGCCTTTTCCAATATTTTCTAATTTCTAGTACATATAGGGAGCTTATTTGAGCTAATGAAAATAACTTATGACTCTCATATGTTCCTTTTAGCTTTATTTCAACAAGCTTCTTAGTGTAGCTTATCAAAATAAACTACTTGTAGCTTATTCCCATAAGTTTCAAGGTCAAATTTATGGCATAAGACCCAATGTGATAAGAGCTTGTAGAACAACCACTTAGCTAAGTTGTTTATCCAAATGCACCATAGTCCCTTGGGCATAATTTATTAGGACGCTATTGGAATTTTTCATATTGCAAGGTCTCCAATTCTAATCCATCTTTAGCTTTGTTCTATATTCTACCATTCCATTCATCGATTGAATTTGGTCTTAGAACTACTGCTGTTTTTTACTCCTCAAAAGAATACAAGGACTTCTCTTATGCTTGAACAAACTCAACAGAGAAAACAATACATCAAACAAAAGAGCCTTCTATATTTTCTGCAAATAAACAATGACGATCCACTAAAGTTACCACCAGCAAAGCACCTCAGTGAAAAACTCTACCAACAAGGGACATATAAAAAGCTTGCCGAAAATATATCTTCAGAAAATACTCCAAACACGTAGACCAAATCAACTATCCTCCATACCACTCTCAAATCTCACTAAAGCCCTAACCATATAAGCCGATACCCTAAGCATAATTACAAGTTTAAGCAGTAGCTCTTGTTTTAGTTAGCTAATTGGTAAAACCCTACTAGCAGCTCCTTCAATTTTTAAAGATTTTCTTAGCTGAAACTAACAATAAGCAATTATTCACAAAACTAAAACCATAATCAGACGAGGAAACAACAAAACAAAGATAAAAACAAAGGCTTTCATTCCAAAACCATAACTGCAGCCATAGCTAACGAACAAAACTCACCTACAGAGACGCCAATGTCGGTATCCGCCACCTGGTTCTTGCGGAGCTTCCTCTCCAAATGCGCGGCTATCCATATAGTCCCAAGTGGCCCTTTCTTGGCCAAAATAAACTGCGAGTAAAACATCCCTCCTCTTCACCTCACGAAATTCCCCTCTCCAGAACACCAGCAACGGTCCCCCAGACCTAAACCCCCATCACAAAACCAAATCCAAATTCGAATTCCCCTATGGAAACCCTAATTGCAGCTCCTGGGTCAACACGAGAATCGCGGGGGAGAGGGAAGCAATCCTGGCAGGGGAAGCGAACAGGAACTGAGCAGAAGGACGTGGTTGGATCGGGAAAACGCGAAAATCGTGGGTGAGCATGCACAGCTGGGTTGGAAGTGGAAAACCCTAACAGCGCGAGAAGCGTGAAATTGAGTGTGAAAATGAGAAATTAGAGGGGGGTTTGGGGGAAAAATGCTAAATTTGAAATTGAAATTTGAACAGAGAAGAGAGCGATTTGTGTGCAGCGAAAAACGAGATTTGGTTTGGGTTTGGGTTTGGGTTTAATTTTGGAAATAAAATGGAAAGTGAATAAATAAGTGTGAAAGTAAGATGTAATTAGCATTTGGCCATGATGCGCTGTCAGTTTGTGATTGGACAATCGTTGAGGCCAAGACAAATGTGCACGTTTTCTTTCATTGCCTCTCTCTTTCTTTTTCTGGGAATAATTCCTATCATGCTTTTTTCTTTTCCCTAAAATGGGACTAAATTGTTTTTGCCTTTCCATAACTCTTGCCCATTCTTTTATACCAACACTTTTTCTATTTTTCCCTTTCATAATATTATCATTTTTAATAAATTTCAGACCATTATTTATATTTTTTAATCCGAGAACATAAATTATACTCTTTTTATTTTATCTTATAAGTATAAAAAATCATTTTACATATGTTTAAAAAGTTAATCATTTGCATTAAATTGAGTTATTCGGGGGTTTAAATTATATAATTGATTGAATTAAAAATATTTGGTAAAATTAGTTGGTTGATGTAAAATGACATCTATTTATTTTATTTAATTGAAAATGAAAATAAGATAATAATATAAAGGTAAAATAATTTTTAAATTAAAAATGGTAATAAATATAAAATGACATGCAATGATTTTTACAATGGGAGTAAAAGAATGGTAAGGTACGTAAAATAGTTTATAAATTTTTAAAAAATAAATAAACTAATGAAATAAACTAGCTTATGAGTTTCTCAAATATTTTCTCAAACACATTTATAAATTAAGAGTTGAAAATGAAAAAATGTATAAACTAACTATTTCAACTAGTGAGAGAATAAAAGGAAAGACAAAAAGGTTTTAAAATTAAATAAAAAACCATTTCAAGTAAATTAATGAGAATTAAAAGGAAAAGGAAAAAAAAAACTTATAAATTATAAGTCACTTTAATTAGTTTTTAAAAAGAATTATAAGTTTCTAAAATAAATTTTTATATCAAATAAATTTATTTTAGTCAAACTAACTTATAAGTTAGTTTTAAAAGACCTGTGAACTTTATATATGTTAATTTTAATTAATGAAAATAAGTATCTAATAATTTTTAAATTTTAAAAAAATTTATAAATTTAATTTATGTATTAAAAACTTTAAATCTAACAATTAGATTGTTGAGATTTATTGTAGCGTATGAATTATTAAACAGAATAAGTTTAAGTTAACTTGTTCTTAAAATAAATAGATCTCTCCTTATATATATATATATATATAT